GGAGGAAAGTGTCCATGTTGGGACGCGAGCGCCCACTTGGAATTGCCTTTAATTCCCTGCTTTGGCAGCCGAGACCTTCGTGTGACACGCAGGAAGAGTTACGGGGGATGCTCGGCACGAGTGAACCCCCGAGCATCACGGCGGACCACGGCGAAGACAGGCTCCCTCCCCCCACCCCCAATCCTGGAGAGACTCAAAAACGGCAGCACACGGGGGAGGGAGGGAGGCCGGAGACCACTCCGGAGCCGGTGTCGCGACGCCACTGCGCGGGGCTGCGAGAAAACATGGATTCCTGATACTTACGTCTGCGACCACGTAGCTTTAGGGATAGGGAAAAAAAAAAAAACACAACCGGAACCGAGGGTTAGGGAACCTGCCCCAAAAGCACCATCTTTGTTGAAGGCAAAAGCCCTAAACAGGAAGTGCCGTCGCCATCTTTAATAAGGGCAAGCGCAGGAAGTGCTGTCTCCATCTTTACTGTGGGTCAAGGAGTCCGGCTGAAGCTCTTTCCGCCATGTTTGCTATGGGCAAACAAGACACCCACGTGAAGATTTAAAAAAAAAGAATGACTAGCCCAAAGGAGCCGGCTCTGATGGCTGTCATCCTAACTAGGCCCGAGGCTGAGAAGATAAGAAAATAGTTTTTCCAATTGTAAACTTATACAAAGGTTGAAACAAATAGCAAAACAAGCATCACTTTTTAGTGAACTCAATGTTTGGAAAAGCTTGAAATATCCTTGGAACTATAAATTAAGTCTAGTTGGACATGGGAAGCAAACAGTGAAGTGCACGAGTGTTCACAGACAAGAGCAGGAGACAGCATAAGAAGAATGAGGGCTGCTGATAAAGGACACAGTGTCTTTAGAAGAAGCAACCTATGAAGATCTAGCATTAAGATCAGCCAGTGGCTCACTACTGTAATCCTAGCTACTCAGGAGGCTGAAATCTGAGGATCTCAGTCCAAAGCCAGCCCAGGCAGGAAAGCCCATGAAACTCTTATCTCCAGTTAATCACCAGAAAACCAGAAGTGGGGCTGTGGCTCAAGTGGTAGAGGCTAGCCTTGAGCTGAAGAGCTGAGCATCTGGGCCAGAGTTCAATCCCTATGACCAACCAAAATAAAACAAAACAAAACACCTAGAAAATGAAGCCATATGAGTGTCTGTGCTGTCTCATAAGCAAATAGACTGCCCTCACCTAGCCTAGTGGACCACCTACTTAACACACAGTGATAACTTTTTAGTAGTGCACCAATGCAACAGCTTCATTTATATAAATAGCCAAGATCAATTAGCCCCTAAAGAAAGAAACACAAATCAGAATCACTATTGCCAGTGATCACTCTGGCATTCTCTCTCTGTGTGTTGAAATTGTGCCCCCCCCCATTGAGGATTGTTACTCAATAACAATAAAGCCATTTTCAGCAAGAACAAAGATTTCAGTTTTCTCTCACCCTATTAAGTTACCTGTGCTGAGCTAGATCCATGAGAGTTTGCAGAAGAGTCAAAAAGAACAGTCTTTTTCTGTCTTTCAATTGTATCTTTGGTTTTCCAATCTTCAAACAAAGGAGGTGAATATTTTGGTACTTCCTGTTTCACAGATGTGGAAGTTGAGCCAGGAGAAAAACAGATTCTTTTCAAGCACACTTGAAATAGCCACAAAAACAGATAATGAACTAGGTCACAAAGAAAATTTGACAAATTCCAAAATATCAGTAGCATATAAACAATAAACAGTACTACTATATGATAAAATTCAACACTTTAACAAAAGAATAACTTTCATAAATCCTATAGGTTAAGAAACTAAGTAAACTCTTCAGCTCTTGAATTTAGAAGAAGAAAAAAGCCATGCACATCTAGCTGAAGAAAGGTGGGAAAGAAGGAAGGCAGCTGGGATGGGTGGAGGGAAGGCAATGAGGGAGGGTGAGCTTATCTAGCAAGCAAGGCCTTCAACTCGATCCCCAGATAAATGATATGAAGTAACTAGACTATAAAATAGTTATAAAGATGCTAGATGGGTTCCCAAAGATATTTGGATACAACAAAGTAAGTTCTCAATTTATTCTTTATACAAAGGGAAAATCATTTTGTTTTAAGTTTCCATTTCTCAAAGAAAGAAAAATTATTGAATTACATAAGAGATTAATATTTCTCTGACACTGGTATCAAGCAGAAATTGATCATGCTTCTTTATTTCAAGAACATCATAAATGAATAAACTGTGCTTTTCTTGTGTCATTTTGGGGAAGATACCAAAATGTTCTTCAAGTGACATTTCTGGTATTAGCCCAATATAAAGCCCAAGATGATGCAGTCCACTGACTGACTTTCTAGTGATATAACTAAAGCCAGGAACTGAAACTAGCAAATGGATGCCATTTAGACCTTCTCCCAACAGTAAGTCACAGCCAAATTTAAGTATTCTAAATAAGAAAAATTTAAACCTATGTTCTCTGCTGAATACCTACTGAACTACCATCATGTGTCACTGGTCAGAGACATCCATATGTTTTAGATGATGAACTATAAGAGACCAATGTGTTTTTGTTTTATGACACAATTTAGTAGCTTATCTTCCATTCTTGTTCAAGTAAAGTGACAAAATTGACACCAGGAGAATGGGCCAAGATACTTCTCAATGAATAATAGTTTTTAAATGAATCTGTCTAGGAATATGGCCTAGTACTTGGAGACCACAAAAGTTGGCATCATAAAAACACACTCAAAAAACCTGACCATGACACAAAAAGCCCTGATTATTTCCACTATCAGTAGGTCACATTGACCACAAAAGAACTTCACCATGAACCCTCTCGAGACTATCTTTCCAAGTAGGGTTACATCATTATGGGTCTGCCAGGATAACTTATCAGTAAATGTACCAAGTAGTTGAATGAATTCAACTTTTTATCTTGGGTTATTTAATAAAATCCATTTTAAAAGTAGACAATGAGTGCTAAATATAATGATTTTTGCCTCAGCATAATTGATGCGAAGCTGTTCTTTCTCACAAAAAATCCACCAAAAGGTTCAGCTGCATCCTAATAAAGCAAATAAACCATTAATCCATAAAAGAAAGCTTCCCCTTCTGCCATTTGTGCTGATAAGAGGGCATGCATCCAATCCAAATGATAGCTACACAGGAAGCATAGGATTTTGAACAAATAATGAGTACAAATGCTAAAACAAGGACTCTATTTGATTTAGTAGGGAAAAGAAACAAGCCATTGAGAGTGTCGATGAATTTTTTATGGCACTTCTTCCCAGATAATGGAAATTATGAACACTAGGATTCTTGGAGTACCCATTTACCAATTGAAAGGATCAACTGGTAAATGAATGAGAAATACGACATCTAAAGAAGTCCTCTGACTGAGCAGAAGTAGTAGAGGAGTTATTGTGGAATGGGGCCCACACGGACTTCTCATAATGGCCTGAGAATACCAGATATAGAGAAATAAAATGAGATACACTAATCTTGCAACTCATAAGTGATTTGGTCTCCTCTCTTAGAAGCAGAAAATTAATTTCCTATTTGTTTTCTTACACCAGACAGTACTATGTACACAATATTTGTTCACTAAATGCTTCCCTAGGAATGTGACTATCAGATTGACTTCAGTTTATGCACACTGCTTGGTTCAGTGCAATTTGGGCTTTATTCTACTAAAATCAGACTCCCAACTCTTTCCTCTGTCTACTACACCCCAGCCCAATTCTGCTTCTTTGACTGGTGCCATCAGCCAATCAAGTCAGAGGCTGCTGGTGTTATCTTTGATTTGTCTTTGATCCTTACATTTCTGTCCCATCCATCAGTAAGTCTTAACAATTCTCTATATGTGTGACTCACTTACCTCTCTCCGCCCTTCACCACAGTCCTCATCTAAATCTCTATCATATCTTACTTGCATTCTAGAATTTTGCTTCATCCTTTTGTTCAGGTGACAACTTAAATGTCACCTCCAAAGATAGTCCATCTCTATAGATAGTCTACAACTCTACCACAATCAATTTCATCGCCTTGGCTTTTTTTCTTAGCATTGGTAATCACTGGTAAATTTTCTTGTTGTTTTAGGAAAAGGAAGGTGCCCTGTCTCTCCCATTAAAATGCATTGTATAAAAATGAGGACCTGGGTCTGGGAAGGTGGCTCAGTGGTACAGCGCTTGCCAGGACCTGGGTGTGATTCCTTAGCATCACATAAGCAAAAAGAAAAAAAAAGCCGGAAGTGGTGCTGTGGCCCAAGTGGTAGAGCACTAGCCTTGAGCTGAAGAGCTGAGGGACAGCGTCCAAGCCCAGAGTTCAGGCCCCACAACTGGACAAAACAAAAACAAAAACAAAACTGAGACTTTTGCTCTGTATTTGCTGCTATTCCCACAGTTCTCAACAAATAGTTCTCATTAAGAACTGTCAAATACTGAATAAATCTAAGACACATTCAGACATGAAGAATATTCAGAATGTAAGAGAATACAGGTTTTATGTAAAGTATTTTTGACACTGAGGTTTAAATTATCCAGTTTCCTTCAACAGTTCTTAATTTTTTAGCTGTCTATTATTGAACATCTACTGTAAGAAACTATAGGTATATTTAATTTAATGGCAGTCCATCCTTTATCCACCTTAAAAAATAACTAAGTGGCAAAGTCAGGATCCAAATAAAAGTTGCTTCTGGCTTATACCTGTCCTAGCTACTCAGGAAGCTGAGATCTGAGGATTCCAGTTTGAAGCCAGCCTGGGCAGGAAAATCTGTGAGACTCATCGCCAGTTAACCACCAGAATACCAGAAGTGGCACTGTGGCTCAAAGTGGCCTTGAGTAAAAAAGCTCAGAAACAGTGCACTGGCCCTGAGTTCAAGCCCCACGAATTCCTATAAGGTAATGACTGTAGGTATGCCTGAGTCCAGGGACATGATTGAGCCTGTAGTACTTCACACCCCAGCCCCTCAATTAGAGGGCTAGAAATTCAACAGGAAATGAGGAGAAAATTCAGTTGACAGAAGGAAAACAGTAGAGACAAAGACATGGACCCCCAGAGGGTGAGGAGCTGAATTGGAGACCTTCCAGCCTAAAGACAGAACATGAAGGGAACTATACGATCAGAAAAGGGGTAACTGAAGAAAACGAAACACAGACAAATACAAAATGACAACAGTAAAAGATTTAAAAAGGTGAAGATACAGGGAGTAATAGCCAGGATTCTCTTTACCTTGGCTCTTCATCCCTTACTGCTACTATGACTGCCTACTGGCTGAAAATGCTAGCAGTAAGACAACACAAACGCCTAGGAGAGTCCGTGTGATTCTTGGCAAGGACAACTGAAAGGCTGAGGTCAGCTGGACTCTCTCCTTCTCCATGCTCTTTCAAGCACTCCACCTGCTTCTTCCAGCAGGGTACTCAAAT